ATCTGGTTTCAGGTGAGCTCCGATAGCCAAAGCACCGTATCGGTTGGCTCCTCCCGAGATGAAGGAGTTGTCTACACAGCTGCAGGAACTGTTAGAAAAAGGATTCATTCGACCGAGCAGTTCGCCTTGGGGAGAACCAATCTTGTTTGTGAAGAAGAAGGATGGATCTCATCGTATGTGCATTGACTACCAGGAGCTGAATAAGCTAACGGTGAAGAACCGTTATCTACTCCTAAGGATTGATGATCTGTTCGACCAACTTCAGGGTGCATCTTAGTTCTCTAAGATTGATTTGCATTCGGGTTATCATCAGATGAGGGTTAGAGAGGAGGATATTCAGAAGACGGACTTTCAGACTCGCCATGATCATTACGAGTTTATGGTGATGCCTTTTGGGATCATCAATGCTCTAGCCATATTCATGGACCTCATGAACCGCGTATGCATGCCGATGCTGGATCGGTCTGTGATTGTATTCATTGATGATATCCTGGTCTATTCCAAGACCCAGTAGCAGCACGAGGAGCGCTTGAGGGAGGTGCTGGAGACTTTGATGAGGGAGAGACTTTTTGTGAAGTTCTCCAAGTGTGAGTTTTGGTTGCGTGAGGTGCAATTTTGGGGGCACCTTGTCAACCAGAACGATATTTTGGTTAATCCAGCCAAGGTCGAGGTCGTGATGAGGTGGGAGGTTCCAAGGTCTCCATCTGAGATTAAGAGTTTCCTTGGTTTAGCAGGTCACTATCAAAGATTCATCCATGATTTCTCCAAAATAGTTGTTCCTTTGACTCGGTTGACGAAGAAGACAGTCACATTTTATTGGGGGGCCTGAGCTGCAGGTAACTTTTGAGACCCTGAGGCGGAGATTATGCGAGGCGTCGATTTTGACCCTGCCGGAGGGTGTTGAGGATTTCGTGGTTTATTGGGTTTAGGGGCAGTTTTGATGCAGAGGGGTCGTGTGATCGCCTACGCTTCGAGGCAGCACCAAAAGGGGTCAGAATGGACATGGGAGCCTGAGGAGGAGATGAGAGAGCATTACCCGGATTTGTTTGCAGATGCGGATTTCGAGGGCGAAGTCTGATTCAAGTGGGGGAGAATTGTAACGTCCGAGATGTCAGGTAAAAGTTAATTAAATAAAATTCATCTTGTGGACCCCATGGACCCGGGTACGCTGGACATACTCCAAGGCATTGCATGAGGTGGGATGTCCCCCTGGTACGTTGGGCTTACCCATGCGTACGCAAGGCGTACGTCAGTCAAGGAAAAACCCTAATTTTTAGGATTTGCACCCTATTTAAACACCTTAAGTCCCCCAAATCCTTCACCTTATCAACCTCCATTTCATCTTGAGCTATACCTCGAAACTGTAATCTATTTTCCAAAGAGATTGACCTTGTGTGTGTGTGTTTTTTATGTGTGTGTGGTGCATATTGGAGGAGAAGAAGACTTGTAGAGAAGCATTGGACAAGATGGAGCTTGTAGATCCATGGATTATTCATCATTTCTAGCTTATTGGAGGTATAAAGCTCCTACCTTGATGAATCCATGTGTTAGTTTTAGTTTAGGGGTTTCTTTTATCATATGATGGTCCCTTGAGTCATCCTTGTGAGTATGAGCTACTCCAGGAGCTTAGAATGTTAGATTTCATCATTTTTGATGATGTTAGTACCTAAAAATATCATCTTGATGGATCACGATGAACCATGCAATGGTTGGTGTCCATTCTTTGAGTATAAAGTGTTTAAGTTGGCTTTGGAACCTTATGAGACATGCAAAAGCATAAAGTTTGCAACTCTATGGATTAAAACGTCTTAATGAGATTAGATCTGAAGTTGGACGTTAGGTCTTAGTGGATTAAGACCTTAAAAGTAAACTATGGCCAACTGGTGCGTACGCAGGTGTATGCTGAGCGTACGCACCTGGGGTCCCAACCTTGCAAAGCACTCGAGTATGTCGGGCATACTGATGTTATGCTTAGCGTACTCGCCAGAGGGGTTTAGGGCTTTAGGTTTCGGGCCACCTTGGGCTTAAGGGATTTGGGCCCTTGTTGGGCCACACATATTTCTGAGCTGGTACTTATGGATTGGGCGCATATTAGGCTTGGAGTGTCTTTGGGTCTTTGGGCTAGTTGGAATTGGGCCTTAGTATGTTAGACCCAATAAAGGAAAGGCAAAACAGCCTTTTCACCCTTGAAGTCGGGACTTAGGATTTGGACTCTTGGAGTTGGGTTAATGACCTAATTACTAATTAAGGATTCTATTATTTGTGATTTAGTGAGAGGACTTTGCGATTCAGCAGCCCAGGTGTGATTTGTTTACTTTCAGACTGAGGTGCATTTCCTCCACTGTACTCGTGGGTCGAAGGCACTAATGTCGGCCCACTAGATTATGTTAGTAGGATGATAGTTGTCTTTGTGACAATTTCATGTTATGTTTGTTTATGCATGTTGTCTTTGTGACTTTCATTGATATGATTGTATGCTTAGCTGTAAGGGTGAAATAGACCCAATACTGGTTAAAAGATACCTAAGGGGGTGAAATAGACCCAATACCGGTTGAAAGATACCGAAGGGGGTGAAATATACCTAGTATCGGTTGAAAGATACCGAAGGCGATGAGATATACCTAACTATGCTTTGACTGTTATGTATGTATGGTATGGGGTATTTTGGGGAGCTCTCTAAGCTTTGTGCTTACAGTTTTAGTTTATGTTTCAGGTACTTTCAGCTCGAAAGGGAAGGGCCCGACTTGATCGCACCACATCCACCCATGTTTTCCGCATTATGTAATTTTAGGATTTGTACTCTGATGTTATTTCACTGTGATACATTTTCTATTGTTTGACATGACTATTGGATGTTTTAAAAAGAATTTAAAAAATGGATTTTTTTTTTCTGAAGTTTTTGGGATGTTACAAGAAAACCCTAAAATTACGGACTTTGGCCAGAACAATTGTCATGTCGTGGCCAACCTATTGTCACGCTGTGACACTCATTAAAACACGTGTTCCAAATAATACATGCCACGTCATGGGCATCCTTGCACCACGTCATGGCACATAGTTTTTTTCCTAAAACTCCATCTTTAGTCCTTGATAAATAATAAGCTTAACCGAACTGGAACACGGGTGTTACATAAATGCATAGGAACATTCGAGGGATTTTCGAGGTACTGTATCTTAAACGTGTTTTTTTCTCATTTGCTAGAATTTCCCTCGAAAATACGTAGGAACTTCCAAGGATTTTTTTTCCTAGAAATATTTTGTAGGAGCATTTGTCTTTTTCTAGTAGTGAACACTACCCTTAAAGGATAATTACACACACCATTAAGTCGGGTTGATGACTAAGATCCTTTGATGATCTCCTTGAATTATTGATGAGGAACCAACTACATGACTCACCTACTCGTCTATAAATCATTGGGAACCTAGAAAGATGGTGAAATTCAAGTCGCATATTCTTTAATTTTGAAATTATATAACTTATTTTAGCTCCTTGGTGTGATTTTATTAAGATTATAGGTTTTTATTACATGGAATAAAAGTAGTTAAGGATCAATGTATAAGTTATTTTAGGATTAATATTAATGTATAAGTTATTTTACACTTAATTTAGTGCATCGATTAAGAATCTTTTCATTTAATATTGTAATGATTTTGTATATTGCTAGTCTCGTATACAAGAACACTAGATTAATGTTTGATATATTAAAATATTATAATAAACGTTTCTCATGTGTTGGGTGCTTCTTATTTGCCATGTTTTGAAAACCGGACCGTACCGGTCGGTTCAAACGGGAACCTGTCTCACATCCGGTTCTTAAAGGCAAAAAAACCAGTATTCATGTGAACCGGTAAAAACCGGTCAGGTTGAACGGGTCAAAAGTGAATGAAAGTGGTCTAAAACACGAAGCCAAAAACTGTTTCCCGTTTGCGCGTTGCCTGTCCTCGAGTCACACGATATAAAAATCCAAGCTTTAGATAAAACTTTCTCCTCATCTTCGTTCCAAGCCGTTCCTCGTTTTTTTGTAGCTTTTCATTTTGATTGCCTTCTTCTAGATGGTTGTGTTTCTTGGACCCGTTCGTCTTCGTCATTGTCGAGGTTTATAGGTTGAGATTGAGATAATGGTACTTGAGATAGTTGTGTTTGGAATCGTTGATGTTGAGAAGTTTGTGGTTCAAATTTTTGAAATTGTTGAGGTTGCGAAGCTTGGGGTTACAATTGTTGAAAAACTTTGAATTGTGGTTGACTGAATTGTTGTGGTATTTGTTGTTGGAAGTAGTTTGGTTGATATGGAATGTTGGTAAATAGAGGTTGTTGTTGAATTGGGGATGTTAACATTTGCATGTAGTTAAGATGTTGATAATGATCATTTGGAGTGTTTTGGGTTGTGGGTGTGGAGTGGTTGAGGTATTTTGATTTGAATCCATACTTTCAGAAAAAAAGATAAGAAAATATAGAGAGATTTGAGTGGTTTTGAAGTGTGAAATGGTTATAAAAGTGTTGGTATTTATAATGTAAGTGTTTGTTTTAAATATCAAAAGTAATTTTTTTTATATACATAAAAAGCATTCAACGATGGTATTTGTGACCGTTTGAGATAAATGGATTTCATTGGCCGTGATAGTAGTAAATCTGTATCACATTTACGCCACTGTGGGGCGGTCCTTCCACATAGGCCATTACGCGTAAAAAAACTATTCCATACCCTATGGCCTGAGCACGTACAACCATTCAATTTTTTATCTCTCCAAAAATCAAAACAGAAAAAAAAATAACGGTAAAGTTAGATATATTATTTCACAAACTGAGATATGAGATACATATTACATACCAGCTTCTATGTGGATACTTAGAAACATGATGTGATAGCTGAGTATATATATGTTCTTAGCATACATATATTCGTGAGGATTTATTAAGAAATATTAAAAATTCATAAACGAAACAAAGCATATATTGTAGTCTCACACAAGATATATCACCTTTTTCCAGAATATTTGGCTCATATATTCACTTCACTTAGTTTGGTTAACCTCACTTTCAACCCATGCTTCATCTGAAGTACTATTGAAGCACTTGGGCATACAGGGTGACCTTCTACCAACTCAATGTGATAATGATAAATGATCGTAGAAGCCACTATCTTTAGCTGAGTGAAACTCATGTCCTTACCAATACAAGTCCTCGGCCCACTATTAAATGCCGAGAACTTGTTAGAAGCTTCATGTTTGATTCCTCCTTCCTTTGAAATCCATCTTTCAGGCTTAAATTCCATGCAGTCCTCTCCCCATATCGTTTTCATCCTTCCCATGCCATAGAAATATAGCATAATCTTGGTGTTTTGATTAACGTGGTGGCCACTTGGAAGTATATCTGGTTGTAATGGAGTTTTGTGGTTAAAAGGAACAGGAGGGTAAAGCCTCAAGGCTTCGCATAGAGCCCCATGAAGATAAACCAGTTTGCCTAACTCTTTGGAATTCCAGTTCTTCTGATCTTTTACTTTCACCTGCAGAAACGTTTGAATCTCCTCGCGGATCTTGTCCTCTACGATAGGATTTTTTGTAATGAGATAGAAAAACCATGAGAGAGTTGTGCTAGTTGTATCTCTCCCAGCACCAATTAGGTTCATTATGGTTTCTTTTAAAAACTTGTTGGGGTCTCCACTACTTCCACTTTGGTGTTTGAATTCTCTAATCAATGATGCTAATCCAAAATGTTCCCTTCCGTGTTCACTTTCTGTATCAATACTACAAGACTCATGTTGTATTCTAGCTAAGCACTTGCACACGAAGTGATCAAAAGCATTAAATGCTTCACTTAACTTCTTCTCATTCCCCATTCTAAGTAGTTGTTGCAATTTCCAAAAAATTGGAGGCGTAAAATGCCTGTACAATATACTTTCTTCAATGTCTGATAACGACTTCTCATAAGGAAGGAAAGGGAAATCAAGAGACAAGCTTTTTGGGTCAAAGGCTAAGAGCAACGTGCATATAGTGTCAAAAGTGAACCTTTGGAATATATCCTGCAAATCCATCTCCTTGCCTGGTTTGCAAATAGATTCTAACACCGGTAAAAGCCCTCTTTCCACCTTATTCCAAACAATCGCTTCGAAAACACTTTGAAAGTTGGGTTGCCTAAAGAGGGACATGGTGGTTTTGCGCTGGATCTCCCATAAATGCCCATCGACATTAAATATTCCATCTCCGAGGATATCAAATATTTTGCGGAATTTTGGGCCTTTTGGATAATTAGAGAAGTTCTTGTTCAAAACATGGTGGATATCTAATGGGTCTGTGGTAATAAGCATATCCATGTTAGCGAACCAAGGTCCTCTAAACATGAAAGTACCACCACTACGATTTAGAATCCTGGTGAGTAAATCATGGAGTCGATGCAACTTTGTGAGGTGTTTAGAAAACGCGCCAAGAGGCATCCAATTTCTATAGGGAAAGATTTTTAGGTTTTGAGGTTTGTAATGAAAAACTAAAAAACAAAGGAAAATGAGAATGGCCAAAGATTCAAGGAAAACCATATTGAAGAAATGCAAAGATATATAGATGAACTTGGATGGTACAGGAAGGAGATTAAGCAATATAGTGGTATATATAAAAAAAAAGCTCACTGCAACAATTTCCTGCACCATTAATTTTGAATAGCAATTGAACAACTAGAAACATATCTAAAAGTACAATAAATATGTGAAGTTAATGTATGTTTTTCTTCTTTATTCATAGAAACGTGTGTAAAAAGAATTATCTTCATATTTATAAAGAATCTAAAATAGTCTACATATTTTATACGACGACGACTATCTTTGACGCACATAAACTACTTTAACATTTGAGATTATTATGGTGGAGCGTTTGATGAGACCATAAACTAGTTTAACATTTGAGATTATTGTGAATGAAATATATATTAATTAATAATTAAAAAAAACAGTGATAAAAGGGTAAACCAAACATTTTATTAAAAGAAAAAAAATAAAGCTAACTAGATTTTAGGGATCTCATTCAAATCCATAAATAAAAAACTATTGATAAAAAATAATCCCGAATTTTAGAAAAGTACATTAAAAATAAAATCATTCTTGAAAGAATACATATTTTTTTTTAAATAATACGGTCACTATTGAACGATGAATACAGTAAATGAATAGAGTTTTTTTTTGAAAGAGTGAAATATTTTCATAGAATAAAATACAAAAAAACATTCTTTAGAACTAAAATACATCCAAAAAATAACGTTCTTAATTATCTATGAATGTGATATTATTTTGTAATGTTTAGATCTTTGTTCTTTCTTTTTTGATATATTCTTGTAAGAATCACACGTGGTGTAGTTGGTTGATGACCAAAAGCGGGTGGTGGCGATGGCAAGTCATGTTGATGATGATGTCCATAAACACGTGATTCTTAAAAGAATATGAATAAAAAAAATATTCTTGAAAGATTAACTAATATATTTAAAATGTTCTGTAAACTCTTATATTTAATTAGTCTTTTTTTTAACATATATTATATCTAAAATGTCACAAACAAACAAACAAACAAAAATATAAATACAATTATGTCAAATCTTTAATTTTTGTAAATAAAATAGGAAAAAATTATTATCTCATAAAATTTATATTTCATAAATGAATTGTCATTAAATATTTAATAAAATTTGTAAGAAAATAACAAATATTTAAAACTAAAATATATTTAAGGGGACAAAATGAAATATGATTAAAGAATTAACGGTTAATTAGGATGTAGGATGTACTAAGCATCAAAGTATATTGATCATTTAATATATATTTAATGGACAATAAAAATAAATAAATGAATTGTATGCATTAATGGTTTTAAGTGATTCATAAAAAAACAAATAGTAATAAACTATAAATAAAGATCACCATCATACATCATTTCCCTCATGCCACCAAACCCATTTTCTCATTCATGTGAAATCCATCTACTTCAACCGAACCAATCTAGACACCTACAACACAACCTTCAATAATCTCCTATCATCGATAGACATCGACGACCACAATTTAATTTCCTTTCGCATCACAGCCAAAAACTTGTTCATCGTTAGAATACGATCAACATGATTTAACCATTAGAGATGTTTTAATCTAAAAGGTAACATATAAGTTTGTTTGCCAAACACGACCTAAATGATTGTATAGCGGTTTCTCCTTATATGCTTGCGAAGGATTTTATACAAGGGTTATTGATATTGTTTTTGCTAACGATTTATTATACATCTATCTAAATAGTACGATTTATGAACCATACTCTATTTCCTTTGGGAGTCCCAACATGATTTGTTGAAACTATATTATATGTGTAAAAGAACACATAGTCCTATAAAAGAATATGGAAACCATTAAACATGTATCATATATGTAGTTTCGTATTTGTCTGTTGTCACTTTTAGTTTATAGCGGTAAACATCTTTTATGGCAATATGTGAACACATGTAAGTGTAATTGAGGCGATGAAACGTCCCAAAAATTAAGGCAAAAAATTTCAATTTTTAAAATAATAAAATCATCATTCAGAACATCTTCATAAAACCATGGTAAAATCAGAGTATATCAATAAACTATCAAATACATCATAGTCATATAAAATGTGAAACAATGTGGTGTGTGTAATGTAGTCATCCCGAGCTCTTCCCCTTCGAACCAGAAGTACCTGAAACATAAACTAAAAATCGTAAGCACAAAGCTTAGTGAGTTCCCGCAAAACACCACATACCATACATATCAAACATGTAATGGGCCCCGCCCGACATCGGGCCCTGCCCGGCATCGAGCCCCGCTCGGAACAGATCTGCCAGTCATCAAGCCCCGCCTGGCATCGGGCCTCGCCCAGTATACATACAAACATATAAACACATGCAAGAATCACAAAGTTAAATACTCCCTCCGTCCCAAAATAATAGTCCACAGACAAAAAACACACAGTTTAAGAAAACATTAATTACCATTAACTTTATTAAATGAAATGACAGTCTTACCCTTCTGTTGCATTTAATTCTATGGTAGTTGCATTTAATTTTATGGTAATTTAACTAATAATGAGGGGTATTATGGTAAAAGACATATTTATTTTTAGAAGTAGGCAATTATTTTGGGACAAACCAAAAAGGAAACATGGACTATTAATATGGGACGGAGGGAGTAGCATACAATCTAATCATCAGGTCGTGCCCAATATACATATCAGATATCATACATGCAAGAGTCACGCAGACAACTAGCATCCTAATCATAAAAAAATTATGGGTCGGCTTTAGTGCATTCGACCCGCCATATACGGTGGGGAAACTCACCTCAAGCTGCTGAATCTCTCGGATAAAATCTAGGTCTGCCGATCTGGAAAAATCCTCGCGATAACACCATCAAAGAATATCTGATTAATAATTGGTCCACAACCCATAACTGAAATCCTAGTCCGATGGCCAACCCTCAGGGTAAAAGTCCATTTTATCTTTTCCTCACTTGGCCCAATCCAATAGCACCAAAAGCCCAATATGACCCAGCTTCCTAATTGGGCCCAAAACCCATCATGGGCCTAATTCCAAGAAGGCCTAATGTCCAACAATAGCCCAAAGTCCAGAGATGATCCATATAAGTCAAGGGTACAAGCCCAATCAAAACAAAGCCCAAATAACTAAGCCCACAACTCCCTCGGCCCACTAACTAGCGTACACTCGGCATACCAGACTCGTACGCCCTGCGTAAGCGATCAATTCCGGAGGCGGTGCTCGCATACAGTACGCTCAACGTACTCAAGAGTACGCCCCGCATACTAGTCATATTTCAAGTCCTTGGCCAAACGTCTTAACCACTTAAGAACTTATCGTCCAACCCTCAAACTAACACCAAATTAAGGTCCTGACCCATAAAGTCAAAGACTTTAAGCCTTTTCATGGCTAAAAAACACCCCAAAGTCCAATTCTAGCATCTTAACTCCATTAAGAAGAACATCAACCTTGCATGGTTGAGCTAAACCCATCAAGTCATCAATTTTATGTATAATGGACCTCAGAAAAGTCTGGATCTATCATCCTAAGTTGTTGGAGTAGCCCATACTCCTAATCAAAGCTTAAAGGACCCAAAAATGCACAAATAAAGCCCTAAACTAGATCTAGCATAAGGAACTATCAAGGTAGAAGATTTATACCTCAAATAGATTGCAAAGATGATGATGAATCTCGATCCACAAGCTGAAGCCCCTCCAAAAAACCTCCAATTGTTCTTCTTCCTTCAATTCACCAAAAACCCTAAAAATCAAGGTTTGTCCCCGCTTAACGAATGCCCTGCGTACGTGGGTGCCTCCGCATCCAAACAACGAGCCAGTACGCCCAACGTACTCGACTAGGGACTAAAATGAAAAGATTTCACATAAAGGGTTAAAAAGGAACATACCACAAAACTTGAATGTTACAATTCTCCCCCACTAGAATTAGACTTCGTCCTCGAAGTCTACCGCCACAAATAATTTTGGGTAGAGCTCCCTCATCTCGCCCTCCGGCTCCCATGTCCATTCTGAACCCTTGTGGTGCTACCACTAAACTTTCTCTAACTCAACAACCTTGTTCCTCAAGGTTTTCGTCTTCCTGTCAAGAATCGTCATCGGTCTCTTGATATAGTTCAGGCGATCATCCACCTGCATATCCTCTAATTAGCCCCCGCGGAATCATCCACCAAACACTTCCACAACTAAGAGATGTGATACGTGTTATGGATCTGACTAAGCTCCTCGGGAAGATCCAAGCGATAAGCAACCCGGCCCACCCGAGCCAAAATCCTGAAAGGACCGATGTACCTGGGACCCAACTTCCCCCTCTTCCTGAATCGGATGACACATTTCCAAGGTGACACCTTCAGGAGAACCATATCCCCAACCTGGAAATCTATGTCAGATCGGCGCTTGTCGATATAGCTCTTCTGTCTACTCTGTGTTGTCTGAAGTCTACTCCAGACCTACTGAATCAACTCGGTAGTCTTGAGTACAATTTCAGTACTCCCCATAACTCACTGACCGACCTCACCCCAACATATCGGGGTCATGCACTTCCTCCCATAGAGCATCTCAAAAGGAGGTCGATCAATGCTGGCATGGTAACTGTTGTTATACGAAAACTCTACCAGAGGGAGATACGTATCCAAACTCCCACCGAAATCCAATACACACGCCCTAAGCATATCCTCCAAGGTATGGATAGTCCGATCATTCTATCTGTCAGTCTGCAGGTGGAAAGTTGTGCTGAAATACAGACCAGTACCCAACTCCTCGTAAAATCTCTTCCAAAAACTGGAAGTAAATCGTACATCCCTGTCTAAAACCACTGAAACCGGCACCCCATGCCGCGCCACAACCTCCTTGATGTAAATGTCGACCAACTTTTCCGTAGAGATACTCTCCTAAA